TAAGCTTAAAATCGAAATAAACAATTGAATAAGTTACAATACGAAAAAATGATTGTTCTTCGTGTAAAATTTATGTTATAAAATAAAAAAACACACTTTCAAATAAGACATTTTTATTTAATTTTATAAAAATCAATTTACAACCGAAAGTTTGTTATCGAAGATATATTATTACAAACATAAAACGTACCAATACTTAAAATAATTGTTTCAATGCACAGTTTGCAACAGCAACGTAATATTAAGGTCAATTGCAAAATGAACCGAGAATGGTGAAAGTAGTCCTTACACGCCAATATATCTTGAACTACCCCTACCACATCGATTGAATCAAGTATAGCTCGTTGTTATCAAATGTTATTAAGACCGGAGCTCTAAGTTTACTGGTCGAATTGCATATCGAATAGCTAAGTAAAGGTATGTCTCGTTTGCAGTATTTGTGTAGATAATTCTAATCAGATTACGGGATTTTATAATAACTGCAATTATTGTTATTATTACAGTTAAAATGATTATTAAAGGAACTTCTTAATTATTACTAATCCCTATGGTTTATTTAGGTCTTTCATTAGGAATCATCATCATCAGCCCATGTCAACACTGAAGGGCTCAAAGCCTACTCTAAGTTAAAGGTGACTAGGTTTTAACAAGAGGTTAAAATATTACCAGAAAAATGTTGAATAATTGACATTTTTATGAATAGATTACGCATCAGGCCAATGTTGTAATAAAATTTGTATTCAAAATTTGTTTTATAAGCTGATAATGTCAAGTCAATTTAAATACATTATTGCAGTACAAATAAAGTGACTTTCGAAAGATTGTTAATTTGACAACAAAAACAAGCACATGAATGCACTTCCAAGAGTTAAAAGGTTAAAAACCTCGTGTTACGTAGCAAAAGTTGAACTGGATTAAAATTAAAAATACCACCTGTTTAATAATGAAATTGTAAAAAAGTTACGTAATTAGTTATGTAGTTTATGGCAACACTACTATCAAGCCAGTTCTCTCCAAGCCACCGACGCGAGAAGACATCTCCAGCATACGATACATTCGAAAGGATAATCTAATACAAATTATGCATCAAAATCGTGCGTTTTCAAAGTTTGACATTTGCCACAAGATTTCAACAATCTGAGCGATGTTTCCAATTGTAAAGTCAACATGAAATGTAAAAATTTCAGATTAGTGGATATTGTTGCATCGATTAATGATTGAATATAACACTATAATAAAGAGCCAAATGCATCACAATATCAGAATATCGGGGGTCTAGCACGAAAGTTTGCGAGAAAGTTTTCGTAATGTAATAAATAAAATTCGTAACTTGTTGGTATGCTTCACATCCGGTAGGAGCACGATTATGAACTTTTCTTCAAAATATTCGTGGTATAATTCCATTTCTAACGTGAACAGTTAAATTACTATAATAAAAAGGACAAAAGACTGATCAAAACAAAACACTCTCGACTCACATTCTTATCGAGTTATATTTCATTTAATTAGTGTATTACAACGTATTAGGTAAACTTGCGAAACACTCAATCATAAGGCAGTCGTTGAAAAGTGAAAGTGGTATTTCTTCCGACACAAAATGACAGGTACTTACAATATGGCCGCCGAAAATGGCGCGAAACATTCCTGACATAACTAACGTATGAATTATGTATTTAGTTTGCTTTAGCTTGTGAATTACGATAAATACATGACAAAGGGTGTATATATACATGACAGTATGACGTAGTACCAGGCTAGTTGGCACAATGGATTTACCCACTGGCGAAACAACGAGTTCCTATGAGATGAACCATGTCAGTGTCAACCCTTGAAAGCACACAGCTGACACAAAATGAAATATCCTGCTAGCTATACCTGACATACAAGCGTTCACACCTCGTCTGTATATGCTTCTGGCATTAAAAAATATTAGTGAACTAGCTGTTCCCGTGTGGGTTCGTCCGCGTGAAATTATGAAAAAAACTTTATTTTATTATTTACATTTGTCAAATTCTTAATTGCATATGTCGTAATTACCGTTACTATAATAATTTTGCTTTCTTTATGTTGCCAGCTTTTAGTTTATTGTCCCTTTCCTACATGAAGATTTTTTACCAATTCATATACCCCTAAGTTTAAAAGCGTAAATATACATCCCAAAGCGTGTCGCAAGAGTAGGGATTTTTATTGAAAAAATAATCGTTCAAAAATATGCTGTGATTGCTGACATCCTACGCCACAAAATAGTGTAGTTATTTTTTTTATAATGTAAGGTGGCAAACGAGCAAGCGGCCACCTGAATCCACCGAAATGGAGTGCAACCGCTCCAATAAACATCCGCAATTGCTGATGCGTTGCCTACAATTAATCGACGGAGGAGGAGACGCACGTAAAGAGGACATTTCCCCTTCCTATGCGTCTCCTCCACCGTCAAATCCACCTTTCCTTCCCATCCTTTCCTCTTAAGAAAAGGGCGAAAAGGGAAAGGGACTAAAATTAGGAATTCGGCACCACACTCCTCGGACGAAACGCGGAATTGCTTCCACTTCACGCCTGTGTGTGTTCGTGGTATTGCACCGGACGAGCAGGCCCACTCGTGCGAAGATGTTAAAGCGAGCTCTACCACTGTTAAACTGTGTATTTACGCTTTATTACATTAGTATAGATATAAATACATTGAAACTTTAACTACTGGATAGAAAAGCTCTCACGGCCGAATGCGGAATCCACTCCTAATTAAATTAAAACCTCGATGACTGTCAGGTTGAAAGCTGTGCTTACGAAGGGAAGGTATAGAAACCAAACCAATTTTGTTATGTCCGTTGTGATGTAAGCAATATTTTAAATCGTATTTTTTATATCAATACTATTATAATAAAGCGTAAAGACACACACCTTTGTTGCCTAAGATGTCAGCAATCACAGCATATTTTAGAATAATTCTTTTTTTAATAAAAAGCCCTACACTTACGTCACGCTTTAGGCTATATATTTTCATGTCATGTCAATTTGACATTTGCTATCAATGTGTAAATAAAATTTTCATAATTTTATGCGGATAAAGTCGCACGGGAACAGCCAGTTTATCATAATTTTATATTATTTCAACTTTAAGTGTAAGAAACAAACAAGAAAACAGGACATAATCAATTGATTTATAGATTTTAGCAGACATTGGCTAATGTATTGTTTGTTTTTAGTTGGATACTGACCTTTTTCTTATCCTATGAGTTGCTTGTTGATTTGGAATGTGAATTTACCTTTTTAAAACGTGACACTAATTTATCAATGTAAGATTTTGTTAGTCATCGATAAATATACATTAACATATAATAATATATTATGTTAACCCCTTTTTTTTTGGTTTGTTATTATTTTTATCATTTAAATTTAACAAAATGATATCTAGGTTGCATTAAAAGATCCTTAAAGTATTCCAACAAGGAAATGATTAGTTGCGAGATGAATAAGAGATATATCTCCGTACTGCTCACACATATGACATTCGTATAGGGTGAAAGGAAATATGCGTAAAAATGTTAACACTTTGAGAAAAGATTGTACGAATATGTTGTTCGCATCATCTTGATATTTTGCTTCTAGAATGTGCAAAAAAAAATCTTATTATTGTTGTCTTATAGGTTTTTGAATTGATATAATGGTGTTGAAATATATTACATGTTGGTTGATTAAAACTAGTTTTCGCCCGCGAAACCGACTTCGTAGAATTAAAAAAAAAACAAAAGTAAGTTTCCTTTGTGTTTTCCCAGACTATGCTCTACATCTATACTAAATTTCATCGAAATCCGTTCTGCGGTTTAGGCTACAAACTCTCACAAACATCCATCCGTCTAAATTACGCATTTCTAATATTATAAAGAAGTAAAATCTAGAAGGAATATTTTCTAAAATGTTTCACAGTCCTCTGTGATAGAGCTTTGAGTGTCAGACACAGTTACAAGAAGTTTCAACTCAAAATTTGAGTTGTAGAGCGATATGTGACGTTTGTTAATGACTTCATAATCTTTAAATAACGACTTAGACATCTTTGATAATAACTTGTTGTATTTAATCTTATTATGTGAAAATAAAACCTTAATTTGCTCCAAGAAAAAAAATACCTGTTCCTTAAAAAAGTTAACGATTGAATTAATAAAAAAATACGATCTCCTTTTTAAGGCGTAACAAACAGGATGTTTAATTATTCTCAAGATTAAAGAACGAACTCGTTTATTAGCCCGACGAAGGTTCTAAGGTTACGTGAAATTTAATACCTTACAACGGAGCGAAGAAAAGATTTATAATAAGCCTTATAATCATGGAAAGGTTTTTTCTACACAAATTTAATATAATTAGTTAAACCGTGGCCTTTTTCACAAATACTTTTGGAATAAAAAAAAACAAAACACTGTTTATTGACCAAAAGAATTATAAAAAAAGAACACAACTTACAAAAGATATTAGTTACGGTAATAAAAATAAAAAAAAATCTTGGTCAAAAGGAGAAGGCTCAGCTAATGCGGCCTCCAGGTTGTCACTAAAGGCCGCGTTGGTTTTCAGCCTCCCCTTAACTATTACATGGTTCAGTTTATGATACAGGAGGCAGTGGAGACTTTCATTGTTTGAATTTCATTCTAGAGAATTTAAGACGACAAATTTATGTTAGTTTCTATTTTTGCTGCACGTTTATTATTTAAGTGTTTAATGTATTTGTTGTGTTAATAAATTTTTAGTACAAAAACATCTTTAAAAATTCACTATCTACGATATTCTATAACTTTCGTTTTTATTTTCAATTAATATTCAAGTCAAAGTATCAAGACAGTTAGGTCCAACGATCGACGCACACGCACACCTTTTGAATCGGTAACGTTGAGGCGAAACAGCGCACTTTCGGCCACAATTCAGTCCGCAAGCGTCTCTCCCTCGTGACAGACGACAGGACAGACATGTTTTCTGTGTAGCGACAAAATTGTATCGACATTTCGAATAGTTTGTATGACGTGGTGATATTTCCAACGACTTGGTGGTATCGTGTCGTTTGTGCCCGACTGTACTTTGTGTACTCTTGTACGCGACTGTACTTTGTGTACTCTTGTGCGAATTCAGTGGTACTGGAGAATAAGTTACAAGTGCGTTTTTGCGGGAAACTGAGAAAATGGTAAGCTTAAGGAATTTTTTTTACGGAAAATTAAAATGTACCAATATGTTGACACTTTATACAGTAATTCAGTGTTAAAATATGCTAAACAAATATTTTATTTCTTGACAAAATATCAGTAATTTAAATTTAAAGTTATATAACATGAAACATGAATATAAAATTATTTATCTCTTTCTTCTTTTATCATCGATCGTGGTTGTCCTTGCGGGAGCATAATTTTTAAAAATTCATATTAATTACTAGACGATTTTTAATTTATTTATAGCTATACAATATACAAATCAATAAAAAATTATTGGCAAACAGCAATATGCTAACCTTGATTTATTAAAATTACCCAAATGAAGTATGTAAATTTGATTCTGGAAACTTGTTTCGACAGTTATATCGTATAAATAGAATAACCAAAGACGAGGAGCTTTATTTCAACTACTAAATAGAGTAATATTAACACAAACCAAAGAGATTTCAATAATATCGTGCGCGTTGAAGTCTTTTGTATCGACGCATCAATTTTCATACGCGAAACATTCCGACATTAAATTTACGCTCTTATATTACAGTATAAAAATGTTATTTGTAGTGTTTGTGATCTAGTTTCATATCCAATTGAGAATCCGGTACCGGCATTACATTAAAAGCATCGAGCTGCCGCTGACAATGAACAAAAAGTTAGTTTCACTAAGAGAAAGTGGCGAACGAACGTCTGTTAGAAATCGCAATCGTACACACGGCAACTACGTATAGGAACAATGCGTACAAATTTTCACCTTATACTGAGAATATAAAAGCCATTTCGCAATAACAATTAAGTACAATCAGCAAAACAAGTTACACGTAATTTCTTTTAAACATGTTACCTTTTTTCATCAATTTTTATAATTATATTAAATCATTATGTCCCTTTATGATTCTATTATTGTATAAGTTGTGTGCGTACATTCCAAAACCCGAAGTATTCGAAAGTAACATTTTTCAATGCTACTTTAATTTTTTTCCTTTGTGTTCACACTTTAAATCCCACGACAACCTTAACCTAATTACATTTTAATTAATACTCTATATGCAGCTGATTATTATATCAGAGCAACATCCGTTCCAAAAAAAAGTACCTATTTATTTTTTGAATAACATTTAGAAAAAAATCATATTCAAGACAGTAAAGACATTTAATTTACGTATATTAAGTTACCAAGCTAACTGTCTAACATAGTATAGCAAAGCTATTTATGTTACAAAACAACTTAAACAAAGTAAAGTTCTAGGACTTGGCCACTTTAAACATTCTGGATTAAGTTGGCTGGCAGAAATTCAACGCAACTTAAGTTCTACGAACCGTCACTTACATTGTCAACATTTCTTAAGCTTGTATAAACAGATTGGTTTTAAACAACTAAACAAGTATAAAACATTAAGAGGGACAAGTATTCAGCGATTCACATTAAAAAAAAATAGACAACGGCGTTTAACAAACAATTTTAAATAAAATAAATTCTTTATTGTCGGTAGATGTATAGACTATAACATGTTTTTGTACTAGAAAATCACAGAGTAAATAAGGGTGTTGCAAGACATTATGCGGTTTTTGTGGTTGTCATGGTAACCGATCGTGATTATCCCATCGCTTGTAATCCGATCGTCTAGTATTATGCAGTAGGGTTATGAAATATTTAATAAAAATAGAGACAAACATGTACAGAATTAATATGAAGTACTTAAATTATTCTTATATCTACAAGACGTAAACAATAATCTTTCGCGTAGAAATCGAATCAAACAACTGAATCAAAACATCTTGGTACTTTAATCTCAGGCAACGGGACATGTACTTACCTTAATTACTAACTAACCAACACCTTAGGAACATTGCAATCAGAACATCTTACATCGCTGCAACGTTTTAAACTCATCATGCAGAGCGAAAATAAACTCTATTCATTTAGAACAAGGTTCATTTTTGTGTAAAGTTTTTTTTACCACAGACTAAGTACTTTATCGTGAGGCTTACCGTTAACCGACGCGTTATCCTAACATTACGATCACTTTAATGCACCCGTTCCCAACACTATAACGGATCTTTCTCTGGGACGCATACTGATTCAAGATGTATTTTTTCTTTTTTTTTATAAAAAAAAGTACAAACGGCCTGATATAAAATTTAAAATTTGTTTTCACTTTTTTTTTTGATTGTCTGATTTATTCTATATTAGTTATTGTTTTATTTTTATGTTCTAATTACGTTTTTATATAAACACGTCTATCCCCTTATCTACATAATATCGATTGTATAACACAAGTTAAGTTGCGTCAATTTATCGGACAATTTTTATTTTAATTAAAATTGTTACGTTTTATTAGCCATTAATTTTTGTTGCAATAAAAAAATGTAGTTCAATGTAATACGTAAGTGTTAAAATATTCATAATGAAGGTAATGTAAAGTTTAAAATGTGATTACATTTATTTTATACTAGCTTTCGCCCGCGACTCCGTCCAAGTGGAATTAAAAAAAACAAAAGTGAGTGGCCTATGTTCTTCCAGACTATCTTTCACATCTATACCAAATTTCATCGAAATCCGTTCAGCCGTAAACGGCTGGATGGATGTTTGTTAGAGTTTGTAGCCTCTAGGCTTTAGCCTTTAAGCTACAAACTCTAACAAACATCCATCCATATATCCATCCATCCATCTAAACTTTCGCATTTATAATATTAGTAAGACTATTTTTCAACCCGGATTTAAACCACTTTATTACTAGCTCGTGTTCTTCCAGATTTTATTGTAATCTGTGATAAATTTAATAGAGATCAATTCTGGAGATAGTTAATAAGAAACATCCATCCATCTAAACTTTCGCATTACTAACATTAAGTTAGAATTAAGATTTATGTAGATGTGTTACATATTTCTACAAAATAACATTAGCAAATGAAGGCATTTATTGAAGTATATTTACAACCAGTTTCTAGGTGAATAACGGTACATCATAAGGAATTGTGGAATAACTTGTTTTGAAAATGAGTTGATTTCTAAGCACACTTAGATAAATACGAACACACGACAAATGTTTACATTAATATAGTGAGACTAATTTATCTGGCACGGTGAAAGGTGTTATCACGGTTAGTTCAGAAGAAATATTTCTTATCAAAGAAAATAACACGACATAGATTTTGTGAAACTTTTTAGAAATAATTATATAGAGGGCGTTAGTAATAGTTTTAAAGCACTGGGTCAAATAAATTTGTCCATCTGTAATGTTTTACAAATAAAGGGGTCAATAGTGATATGACCTCTGCGATAGAAAACTTCACAAGTATTTAGAGGGCAACTAGACCTTGTGTTTAAACCTCAAGAAATGCTAATTAAATATTAGAACTGTTACCTTTGTTTATGAATTGTATTTATATATTACGTCTAAAAGTACAATGATAAATTGTTTTCTATACAAGTTTTAACTCAACCTTGTCCGCGAGAAATTAAAATAAAAAAAGGACGTTGAAGTCTATGGTACTCCGTGAAAATTTAAACTAACTAATGGTCAAAGAATTTTTGAAATCCGATCTGTATTTACGTTTTTCGTTACATACAAAAATACAAATCTTGCTTTGAAATATCAATGTTGTTCTAGTATTAACTTTTAAACTATAAAAAATACCATTACTTCAAGTATGTTGTACTACAATCACATTATTAACTAATTAAATTAGCAACAAATAAAAAAAACTGAATTTTACATATATTAAATAATGCTCCATTTTAAAGAATGCTTAGTTACCCTAAGCTAGATAATCACACTCAAAGCAGTTAAGTGATCATTAAGTGTGAATCGATAAGTATAAATTTAGCACTAATTGTTTAAGTACCGGCCAAAAGGCTAAGTAACAGTGTTATAGAATTTGCAACTTCTGGTCAGTCCTTAGGCAATAGTCAGGGAGCACAGCGGCGTGTAAGACACGGTAACACCCTTTCATGTCACAGTTGCAACACGATTTGCGCAATGTACTACGTAACAAGGCACGCCGGGCGCGTTGCCCAAGCGAGCAAACCGTCACTGCAACGTTTAGGCAAAGATAATGTTTATCGCAGTTGCACACTTAAAATATTTGGTTAGATATCTTAGAAAATAAGTTAATATTTTTTTTAGTTTTCAATGCCCATTTTCACCAATCATTAACCAGGCACAAATATTATGTGTCTTTTAGGGTTAGTATCTTACTAAATATAATGCAAAATAATCTAAGTAGGCCAACAGAATGCCCTAGGATGCCCTAAATTTGAATAATCGTTGGTGAAAAGAGCTAATTGCGTTTAATCGTCACATTTCTGAATCTAGTAATGAAATAAATTCACTTTAAAATACCGTTGAATATTTAAAAGGGATTATGAAGTTTAAGAACATAAAAAAGCTTGTAAATAGCTCTTATTGTACTAGAAAAGCGATATTTATACAAACGTAATCACAAATCAACTACAGCTTTTATACAAAAACAATTACATAAGGGAAAATGATTTAAAGCCTAATGTAACTCACGAACTTGTAACTTTGATTATTGACATGTAAAATTTAGCGTAGTATGTCACGTTTAGTCGATACGTCAACACAGACTGGGGTTGCTAAGCCACGTTTGACTTATGGCCAGTTTCCCAGCTACGTTTAAGCATTCGTGTTTTTGGTATGATAGATTCTAGAAACGCATTTCTGAACTACGTAACTTAAGCTTTACTCCTTTGAAATTGAGATTTACCTAACACTAATGAATCACTAGGTAACGGTAAAAATGGACACTTCAGCAACCCAGCTTAAGCTACGATTTATTAAGCTACGTTTTCACTGACTGAATACTCACGCCTCGTCAGCCTGCCTGGCGGAGCATCGTTTCCTTTGCGAGACACTTATGTCGAGTACTGATAACAAAAATGGTTGATCAATACGAGAAGATCAGAAAAAGTTTTTATAGTATGTTATAAACGTCGTTGCACATTTTCGTATTTTTC